AGAAATGTCGAAATAAGTCCATTTATCTTGAAAATATATTTCAGGACCCGTTGACTTCAACTGCAAAGACATATGCATACAAATGCAAATATATCGTGTATCTTGGTATCAAGATGTAACAAAAATACGCGGTAAATACATGGTAATAAGCGGAATTATCTCAAAATAGTAATAAATGAACATCTGCATACCGGAAAGATTTCGCTGCAGTTAAGTTTCCGCTTTTTTCGTCCTTCATGAGGGTGAGTTCATCATGACACCAAATACTAGTACACAGTTTATCAAATAAAGTAATTACATGTGAAGGACGAAATGAATACAAGGTGGAGATGAATTTTACCAGTCAAGGGCGAATGATTGACCGAGAAAAGTTTCCCGGAACACAGCATTGCGTATTGTAAATTATCATCCATTTATAAATGACGAATTATTACAACATAAAAATGGTATACACTTTTAAGTTACACTGATTTGTTATGATACATTATCCTTAGAAATGCTTGTAACTTTGAATTTATAAAAATGTTCTCACCTACATCATGATATTAAGGTCAAGTGCTCACCATGCACGAACAAGCCCGAATATGATGAAATGACTCACCTGGAGTATTTCGTCAAAAAACAAAATGGACACACATACTACCAATGCGACTTCAAAGGCAGTTAAAGTTGTGCCGAATCGGGACAGAAGGGTATAGGCAAATAGCATAAGAAATGCTACATAGATCATCTGAAATGTCAATCACACATGTTTTTCATTTCATTTAAGAACATGCCGTCATTTTATATTTTGCCATTTAGCAATTGGATAGTTGAAGAAAAAAACATGAAAAAAAGGAACAGTTTGTTTCGTTCATGGTATTACGTCCTCACACCAGCTAAGATATAGTTTGGGTTCCCCTTGACAGAATATATGGTAGGAAACACATGGTTATGTAGCTGTTCAACATAGGTTGTCTCTTACGCTCCTGGACAGTGATGCAGTAGGTCTATTGTAAGTGTAACTCACACAGAATCACAGTATGTTAGCTTCTTTATCGATGACACCAGCCATGTAAATCTAAGTCCAATCTAAGTAATGTTACGACCTTTTAGCGAGAACCAATCTAATGGCAACGAAACAGCAAGGCACACGTATGAAAACAATGAAAAACAAATTGACCTTCGTGTCACACATATAAAAGTCGTTAATATCCACATATGAATATGCACTTAGTTTGCTTCATATCTTTAATGGTAAAAGTCCTCAATGTGTATTTTGATATATGAAGCAAATTAAAGAAATCATAACTAATATTCATAAGAAGACATTTAAGTATCAAAGAGATCAAAAGAATCTTCTCTTACGTTTAGGGTGTGACAGAAATAATCTCCAATCGGAGGGGTGATTTGTTTGAATGTCTAACAAACAAATAATCACTTCCAAATTGGTGATTTCTGTTTAACTCTCAAAAAAGGAATTGTTTATTTTTTCTATGATTTCAGTAGTCTAGCTTAAGTATAACTAAAGGCACTTTTAGCGTGTAAATATCGCCATTCACCTTTCAACACGTCACAATTGCCGTTCAATTTTTTCACAATTTAGACAATGCTATTTTACTTAAGGCTATATAACCCTACGGAGTAACAAGCTCATCATTTCCAACTAAAACGGGTGAAACGCCTCTGTAGGGTGAAAGAAAGAGTTGCCTATTCCAGAAAGAAAACAAATATCTAAATCGTATCATACAGCTCAAACATTGTTTGCATTAAGTAATATTTTATCAAATGTACATTGCAATATAACAAGACTACATGAAGAATACTACGAACTTCACTACGGGTGCCTTGTAGAAACTTATAATCTTGCCACAGTAGGTTGATCTAAAACAAATATAATCACACAAAAATAAATAAATCTATGCATATCAAACTTTTTACTGACAATCCATAGTGCCAATGAACATGTCTAGCGGGTTTCCGTTATTTTATTATTTCATCATATTATCATACAGTATATTAATCCTCAATAATCGAACTAGTTGTTTGCCAAAATATTAATACCATGATAACGTTTTGTGAGCCGTATGAAATTAATTTAACGCTTTAACGCGTAATAGTTTATCGTATCAAAAGCTGGTCCATTGCAAAATAAGCTTAATATATTTACCTTCCAGAACAGCTTGAACTGGTGGATGCCTATCCGTTGCATGACAATTATGAAATAGATAAGACCAAAACACTAAATAAGAGAATATACAACGAGTTTATACAATTCTAGCTTCTGTTTTATCATGTGATACTAAATCTATAAATATAATATAACGGGAAATTTTCGCTGCAGTTTTATTTATTTCCTCGACCCAGTAATGAAGGCGAATTTATCATTACAGCGAATAAAAGTAATCAGATTAATAAAAATAGCGAAAATTGCTTTCATAGGCGACAAGCGAAAATTTCAAAGGGCAAAAAATTCCCAGTATACAGTATATATGTTTGCATGTATTTTCAAATCTGCAAAGAATTGACAATTTTTGGATCATGTTTATCATGCACTGTCAAAACCGAAATGGAAAGTTTACCATATTAACCATATAACTTCTTTTACAGATTGAGCCAATTTTTAATAAAATGGGTAATACGTGAACCATATTGCGTTACAATAGCATCATATTTTCTCGTACAGTTGCTAAACACCACCTTGTGATTTGAAGTTGTTGGATATTATAAAAAAACATCCCGAGATGATAAATATCGCATTGCCTGAAATTTGATAAACTTACAACATCTAAAGTAAATCTTGATATAATGCCCGTCATTGCATTTGCCACCTCGTTTATCACCTATTCCGTTTTCGCCTACCTCTCTGTGTCGCTAAATCCCTTAACAAACAATTGTGCTTGATAATAGCAACAATGCAAACACACAGATGCGAAGCTAAAAGCTATCCTCAGTGCCACACGGTTTATTGCGTCATACCAATATTCATTCACAAAATTGTTAGTTAAAATGTGTTATTTCTGTTGGAAATGGTAAGTTTTGTCTGTTGCTTTATAAATCCAATGGTCAAAAGCTTACACAATATGCTATTTGAATATTGTCTAAAGGGAATTTTTCGCCCAGTCATACTTTCGCCCTTCGCCCGTGAAATCATTTTTCGCCCTTCACATTTAATTACTATGTATATAATGTTGTTTACTAATATTCTCTGTAATGATAAATTCGCCTTTATTACGAAGGGGCGAAAAAGGCGAAAACTCAACTCCAGCGAAAATTTCCCAGTATGCAGTATGTCTTTGTTTATCATTTGCATAATTAAATACACAACTTGGTCGTAAGCAAGATAGATTATTTCACTTTACTGACCTTGTTTTGTCTTTGCTCGTTCTCATCATCTATCTTGAATCTGATGAGGCACGGTATTAATAGTTGCATTGGTGGCACAACGCACAGAGGTATTGTTAGCTGTATCATATATAAATGTAAGGACCCATTAGTTTTATAATAATATATATATTGGATGCTATACTATGCAAACCTCTTTCATTGCCCTATAACAAATTAATCTCTGGTCAGTGTATTGTCATCTCCACAGCAATTGTTATGTAGCTCATAACATGGCATAGAACATGGTAAAATCTTAAGTTCCTTTTTTGTGTTTAAGAAAAAAGTCCAAATGAATTGGGATATTTGGATAATCTACATTCAAATTAGAAACATCTTCTTGTGAATCATGAATTTTCATACCAGCCTACCATTAATCA